GCAGACAGCCCCTGGTCGGTGGAGGACATCCTGACGGAGGACGACGAGCAGGACCGCGTCCCGCTGCAGAAGCTGAAGCTTTTAGGTAACGCTGAGCAGTCGGGAGGCAGCCGGGCGCGGAGGTGGTGGCCGGCCTTGGGCAAAGCGAGCGGGGAGATTCACAATTCCCGTGAATTCTTCATGGGGCGCTGCAGTTTGTCCCAGTCGTGCACTTCATCGCAGGGCCTTAAGGACTTAAATGTCGGATACCTGGCCTCTCACCGTGTCTCTCTGAAAGTTTGTTTGCAAAGTAAGGGTGGTCTCAACCGCATTTGTAACTGTTCGAGATTAGCACTGTTTCCTTTTTTTTTTTTTCTTTTAAAGGGGAATCGGAAGAACTGGGAGGCTTGCTTCTGAACCCACACCTCAGGCAGCTACTGCTGACAATCGATCAAGCGGAAGATAAAAGCTCCCTCATGAAAAAGTACATGCAGGAGCCGTTATTTGTTGAGTTTGCAGACTGCTGTTTGAGAATTGTTGAACCTCCAGAGAAGGAGAACATTCTTCCTGAGTGAGCTACTTTGGGAACGTTTTTCTTTCCTTGAGAGTTTTTCCCTCTGACAGAAGAGATTCGACAGCACCCCGTGCTACTGTGGTGCACCATTCTGTGTGTTCCCTCAAGGTTTGGTCATGCTTTGCTCATGGATGTCGGTGCTCTAATTTTCAATTTAGAGTTGATAAGCAGTGACATAGTTGTCTTGGACAGATTTCTAGATGTTAGGAATTAACCTTGATGTTCTGTGGACTTGCTTTCTGTTGGTACAGAAATACTGTCAACCATGGGAAACGTTGCTTCCCAATAACAATGATATTAAATATATTTGCATTTATTTTAACCCACAAACTAATCTGAAATGTTTTTGTTAACTAAACCTTGTTGCGGATGGTCAGACACCTTTACAGGGTATTTAACAGTTTATTTAAAAGTGGCATACACAAAAGAGCTGAACATTTTCAAGATCCATGTGAGCAACAAAGAGACAGTATAGAGCGCTTCTGATGAGAACCCTGGCCCCTTGGCAGAGGTAATGCTGTTGGCTAGGTAGTGCTAGAAATGCATGGCAGTTGTGAGAGCACATATATTTTGGTCCTATAGATAAAAAAGCAAGAGTCCAGTCTCACTTTTCCCTGAGACACCTGCTGTTAGTGTTACAGTTTGCTGCTCGCTTCCTCAGTCGGAGTCAGAAGTGTTACGACGTTACGGAACGCTCGTGGTCAGTCAGAATAGTTGCAGCTGTACCTCCATACGAGAATCCAGCACGCATCAGAAATGTTTGCCTTATTTGCTCTCTCATTACCAGCCTCTTGCTTCTCCCAGGTAGTGCCAGAAGTGTTCAGTTCAAGTATATATTGCTTAAAGCACTTGATCTATTTTAATTATGTTGAGTGTTCTCATAGTACTGTATTTCCTCTAATAAGTGCATGTGTGTGAGGAGGAATGCCCCCCCCCCCACGTGTTCTAAATTTGAAGTATATTATATGTACAATGCATCAATATAGAAAGCTCTGAGGTAGCAGCGGATATGGATGTTGAGTAATTTGAAAGCAGCAGCTTGCAGACAGTCCTTCCCTGAAGGAAAAAGTACAGTATATGCAGATGGCCAAAACCTATGTTGGAAGGAGTTTTTTTCTGTCCAGTAAAATCTGGTTAAGTCCAGTGATGGAACAGGCATCCGTATGGGGGCTGACATTTGCGTAATGTAGGGGAGACTTCTTACAGTGAAACTTGATAGAGCCCTACAAGAAAAAGAGGTGGAGAGGTCAGCTGATGTTTTTGCCAGATTTTGAGCTAATTTTACTATTCAAACTAAGCGCTTTAGTATATAAGCAACTAGTGAATATGAGTAAGGATAGAGGAAGACCTCCCAAGTAGTCCTAGTACAAATGGATTTAAGAGAAATGATGACTACAAAGAGTACCAATACCGTAATTTGAACTGAAATTAGCTTAAACTCTGAAGACTTGAGTATTTGGTCAGTACTGGACTTGGTACTGCTTCTTCTTACTCGTAGCAACTGTGACCAGGCACAGGCTACGTTCTTGCACACATAAATTTTTGAGGTTGCCTGAAATTGTCAACAAAAAACCCAAGCACAGGCACAAGGTGATTGGTAACCAGAGTGCAACTTCTGAGAGAAGCCAGTGTGGGTTGTGGCTTGTTTGTAGTAAATGGTATTGTTGTGGTTTAACCTGGTAGGCAGCTAAACAGCACACCCCCAACTTCTTGTGCCCCCCCAGCCTGCTCGCTGGCGGGGCGGTGTGGGGAGCAGAAAAGGCCTTGACTGTGTGTGAGCACTGCTCAGCGATAACGAAAACATCCGTGTGTTATCAGCACTGTTTCCAGCACAAATCCCAAACACAGCCCCACACTAGCTGCTGTGATGAAAATTAACTCTACCCCAGCCAAAACCAGCACAGGTATCTAAGACTATTCTGCATGTGTGTAGGAGATGAAGTACTTGAGGGTTGCTCCCCACTTTCTGCCCTGAAAATCCTCTTTCTTAGTCTGTGCAGTTGTCTGCACAGTGAAGTTAATGCAGAATTACTGGGATATTACTAATACACCCGGTGGCCTTTCCCCAAGTGGACGCTTTTTCATGTGTTCACCTGTTGTGCAACTTGAATCCCCCAAGCGGAAAAAATATGTAGTACGTAATAGCAGAGCCCACGTTAGAATGCTCTGCCCTCCATTTCTGAAGCAGAACTTTGATCAGTTCCTATGACAGAGATTAACAAGAGTTGAAAGCCTCAACTCAGCTGCGTGCGCCTAGCTTGACGTATTGATGTCAGAGTCATCAATAGTCATCTGGCATATCTAAGCCAGTGGGAAAAGGAAGACTGTAGCTGGAGAGCAGACTTCATAGTTGCTCTGCTTGATAGCGGAGTTCAGCTTCCTGAACTCGCGGCAGCTTAATTGTGCTGATGACTCAAGTGCGCGAGGTATGTTACCTGTGGGAGAGCTCTAATGGAAGTGATGCCACAGCCAAAGGAACAGCTTTCCACCTTGTAGCAGTTGCTCTCCTGAAGTACTTTGAGGCATGCCAGCAGGGACAGGTCTCTCCGAAGTCCCGTTACAGTAACAGGTGCCGCAGCCAGGACAAGGCCAAGAGGCCAGAATTGAATTATTGCGTGCAGAGGCCAAGTTGTTTCCAAAGAGCAAGGTGATTTGGCCGAGACCACCGTAGCTGCAGGAACTGCGAAGAACGCCTTTTCTTCACCCTCATCCAATTCTGCTGCTGCTAACGCAACCATTTTTGCCTGATGAAGAGATGCAGAACAATCTTCTTGAACAAGATTCTCAAACATCTTGAACAAAACTTAAAACTGCAAAACTAACAGTCTAAAAAAGGGCATCTCAAAGGATAGGACACCCTTTGGGACACTTTCCCATTTTATGAAGGTAAGGAGCGAGTTCATTCTGCAGTCTCTGCGCTGCCACCCTGTAGAAGCAGCTGTACGAGACTGGCATCCATCTTCTACTCTTCAGCTTGAGAAGAGTTTTCTGGAGAATTTACAGTATTGGCTTTGTACAGTTAATTGACAGAGGTGGATTCTTTCTCAAACACTAAGAAGCCTCAGTCACTCCATTTCAATGCTTTCCTGTACCAACGTACTTACCTTCCATTTCCTCCAGCCATGCTTAATAACATTAGCAGCCCTGCGCATCCTTTGGAAGCGATTCTTGGCTAACCAGGAACGAATAGCTGAAGATTTAATTAAAAGAAATCTGAGTACAAAGAATCTTGGAAGCCCTTGCACACAATGTAAGAGAGATGGCACTTAAGCTTTCTCCATCTTCAATTAACAGAACCACTCCTGCCACTTTAAACATCCAGCGTAACTGGAAATGTTACGTTATGTTCAGCCACACCTTTATCAAATTACCTGCTTGGATGATGGTTGCAGACCATCTCTCCTTCGCTAGTTTCTTCTGTTTAAATCTTCTCCAGCAACACTGAATGCAAAATGCTTTCTCATTTAACATCTCTGCTCTTCTAGCTTCAAGTTGCTCCAGCTGCATTGGGGATACGAGCCTGCGGTTAATACTCGGGGACGGAGTTGTGTTCACAACTCTTCCCTCTCCTACAGCGTCCTGGTGTTTGTCAGAAAAACCACGTGCACATTTCAGTGTCCTAAGACTGCTGGATTAGGTTTTAGAAGCGAGAGCACTTCATTAGTGCTTATTAGATAACACGTAAAATGAAAATGTAATTATCTGAGGGGGAAGAGAGTGTTGTGGAGAGGGGAAAGCGGACACTCCCAAAGTCACAGTAGCAGCTGGCTTAAAACTAGCTCCCTTGAAGGGGGTTCTTTTATGGCTGCATCCTCCGGTGTGCAAGCTTTGCAAAAGTGCCTTCGTCTCCTTCATCTCTTTCACAAAGAAGCTGCTTAGGCCTGTCAGAGTAGCCAAGTCTGTCAGCTGAAGCTAAGGAAAGCTGTAATCTTTACTGGAACTGGGAGGATACTGACAACACTAGACACAAGCGCAGCTCCTTGTCCGTTAGCAACAAGGACGCCATTAAACAAAGTGCTTCTGATAGCTGGATTCTGATGGATGTTTGATATAGTTTAATAATTTGAAGGAAAATGCCAAATTCTGGTCACACTGGCATTCGCAGGAGTATCGCCTAAACCACGATGATAATCTGTGCCAGAATGCCCATTATGCAAGTACGCTCCAGAACTGTTAGCCACGGAAATAGCACTCTTACCACAGAATTAGCCATAAATACTTTGGTTTTGCCGCAGTACACTGAAGTGTTTTCTGCTCCGTTCCCTGTTGGCTCAGCAGCAGTTTGTCCCGTAACAACATTCTGAAGGATCTCAAAAACAACAGAACGTGATGCTTTGTCATCATCCACCACTGGAGTCTCACCTGCAAATGAAGCATCGAAGAGAAGGTATCACAGAACTTGGAAATCAGGACCAAGTAATTGTCTTTACACTGAGACTTCTTGGCCATTTAGGGGGGGGATACACCTACGACAAGAGGGGAGGAGGTGATGGCTGAGACATCACTAGATCTAGCTGTGTTTAAGGGAAAAATGTGACAGCATAGATTTCACCATGTGCTAGCGACTAGAAAACCAGCATGGTGCGTTTTAACTAGGATGTAGTTTGGGTGCCGTCTTATCACCTCTATTATAACCTATCCATAGGTAACAAATGTCATTTTGGGTAGATCTAGACAACACAACAGACAAACGGAGGGCTCGGCTGTTCTCACATTGTTTAAAGCATCCTATATGGAAACATTAGAAAGCAACAGCAATGCAATTAAGATTAGATTTGAGCAGCTCAGTCCTAAGAAAATCTGATGAAATACCCAAAATTCAAAGCTGTTGGGAACAAAAAGCAAGGGATTAGACTCGTAGCCTTAATGTACTGAAAGATGCAGGAACAGAAAACAAATTCTACACAAGTCTACAGCTTTCACGGGGCATCAGAAGCAGCTACAGGGACATGTACTAAGCAGGAGTTTATTGCAGGAATAAGAGGTTATTAAAACCATTTCTGAGACATAGTACACAATTTTTTACATTATGAGACAAACAGGGTAGCCAGATTAATCTATTTGGAAATAGAGGTAGAGTTAATTCACACCTGTCCTTGAAAGAGATTGTGTTGTTCAAGGCAATGCTGCATGAGTTTCTGCATGCCCAATGCCGGAACTTGATGGTCTTTGTATCTTTCCATCCTGGATACTGTTTGCTTTTCTGCTATAAATATTTCTAAGGAGATGAGAGCATTTTAAGGTACTGAAAACAAATACAAGCAACTCTTGCTTACAGGAAGACATCTGGTGACTATGATGGTGTTCATGGGGCTGGGCTGA